ATATATATTACGAATTAATTTACGAACATTAGTTTTGTCATCGAAACCAAATCAGAAAAATAAAACGTGTCCCGTGCTCGCGCTTGGTATCCGGTCATCTTGCAGAAACAATGATCCACATTGTTACACGCATGCACGATAAATGAATAAAACCACGTGCACTCCAGAATGCAGTATAAAATGTAAATTGCACATTATTACAATATATACCTAGTTGTATTATAATAGCGGTCAATGCAGCTGTACTCGTGCGCGACAGTAATATATTATTATATACCTATATTGGCTATAAAGGTATCTATATAATTTTACGATGGGTATAATTTCGTGCACATACTACATACATTTATGTTATATCTATAYGACTAATATATTGTATGCCGAATTGGAATTTCAAACGTCATATAAGTGCATCATTGTTCCAAGCTTAGTGGTTCGTATCTTTCTTAAATTTAGTTTTCGTTTTAATTAAAATACTATTGTATGAGGTCAATAAATATTGTATACATACGATGTAAGACAAACAAAATTTAATATGGCAATTCCTAATCGGAAATTACGAAGGCCATAAAATCCCACATTTCCGGCCTATTTGGCTTCGGGACTTTAATCTCCGACATCCCGAAAACAGTTTATAGGTACTTTATATATTCTTTCTTCTAAATTATACCGATCAATGTTTTAGTAATATGTTTATAAATAAAAGTCCACGTATACGAAACAGTATTTTTTTACGATTGCATAACCGACGATGGTAGGTACTGATTTTTGCGGTTATGATAATATTTATACATAATCTTATTATGTCACTATATTTAACATGGATAGTGGAGTAACTAAATTAGTAGGCAAATTAATTTTTCTATGACTGTCAACATATTTATGTCTTAAACTATTGTTCGATTAATTATKAATACACTTGTCACTTAATGGTTCTCGATTGGTGTGTCAATAGAAATAGAACAGCACCAAGAAAAAGTGACCAGCATGAATAAATAAAATTCAGAAAAGTATAAAATTATTATATTATTTATGTATATAAGTTAATAATTTCTAACAATACATTAAGAAATTACTCAAGCGAAAAATACTAGTTTGAATATGTAAAACACTTGAAGAATATAAAAATTGAATAGGTAGATAGTTAGCTTATTTGAAATACTTACCCTAGGTAATTATAATATAATTATATAATAATATAATAATAGAAATAATAGAACGAAATCCTGCTTAGATCATCATCTTTAAAATACAGATTTTTCAAAATTCCTTTTCATTGCACATATAAATTTTAGAGCATTATTAGGGAATCTTTTTAGAGAAATAGTTATAGTTAATAGGATTTCATAATATACTTGTATACCATTTATACCAAGATAGTGTTTAGGTAAATTATAACCAACTAATACATTATACATAAAATACCTATGAATGTATAAATTATTATATTATACTGCAGTATATAGGTATTAAAAAATTGAATGTTAAGTTATCAAGAACACAAATTTGTTTTAAGTAATTTAGGTGCTTCACAAAAAAAAATTCTTAAATATGATACTGCCTATATAAAGATATTGTTAAATATTATAATAAATGTGAATGAAATCTTATTATATTATAGTTTGGTACCTACTGCTTTTCATTATACATGATAATAGTTAATTTAACTTAATGAATATCCTAGTTGTATTATTCATAAATCATTGCCACGAGGTAATAACCTGTAGATGAAGTCGTGTACCTGCTATATCTGAAACAATAATATTACCGATAGGTAGGTACAGTCTATAAAATCTAAAAATCGAGGCCAATGTAAATGAACCAATATATTCTATAATGTTGTGGTAGTGATACGTGTTTTACATGTTTACTTTAGAAATAGAATCATATAATTATTAAATTTTTATTATTACCTGCCTATACCATACACCTAATGAAATAGGTACTATGCGTATTTATAGAAAATTGAAGAAACAAAATTTTCATCTTCCATCTAGATTAAATACCAACTGTAGATATATGTTAAAAAATCATCATGCGGCACCTATTTAAAAATAATATAATGTTCTACTATTATATTAATGACAAAAATGGTTTGCTAATTATTTAATTTAAGTTTATTATAGGCATTAGATACCTGTGTAATATAAAACAATTCTTATTTCTCAACAGGCCATTGAGCTTGGTGTCTTTTATTCTTTAGAAAGTAAAGAAGAAGTTAGATATGGCATATTATTGTACTTTGCTAATGATAAAATTACTGAATAAAAGTGAAATAAAATGTATTATTTTTAAAACGTTATATTACAATAAAGAGTTTCATTTACAAATAGGTGTATTTTAGCTTTCCAATCTTTTTAATTAACGTGAAAACCTTCGCCAACTAGGTGGAAGGTACGGTTAGGTACATATTGTAAATTATGTATTTAATATAGGTAAGATATCATTCAGCTATTTTATAAAAACGGGAGCTGTTTGCAAGATTTTTGTCTTTATGACTTTATTTACCATTCGAAAAATATCTATACAAAGACTATGATGCACGTGTGAGTGTTTATATAATTCTAATTTATAATATTTTTTTAAATATTAGTGCGATTATATTAGGCAGATTTGTGCGCCAAATCTATCATTATTATTTAATAATTTATTTCATTGGGCCAAGTCATAAATTAGAATCTCAACCATAACAAAAATGATGATAATTTAATAAATTATATCTTACGTTCTCTTTAAACGTTATTTCAATAGAAGACTATTATGTATTTATGTGTATGTGCATATGCCATCGCCGGYAGCACACTAATCGAGACATGAGAAATACATTTGATAATCGGAGCGGTAGCCAAGTTACAAGTCCGTATAACAAATAACGAAACAGTTAGATAATGCATTTAGCATTATACGTATTATGTTCCTTCCCCTGATTTCAATAGGAATTCACAATAGAATCTGATCCATTAATTAACTAAAACCTTATTATAAAAAGTTATGTGCCATAGGTAGCCCATAGGTATCTACTATCCAGTATCTACGTATGTCATATACTCGTATATAGGTTTAGAATTGCACCGTATATAAGGTATAAACCGAAAAAATAGTTAAAAATTAAAAACCTAACTAAAGATTATATATAATTCTAAACACAATTAAAACGATCAAAATTTAGTTTAATGATATAATTTTTTTATTAATATTGAATTTTCAATTTGCAATTATTTCCATTGATATTTAATTACTGTGTGTGATAATATTATATTATTCTTCACTAATTCGCGGATTTGACCACATAGGTTAGGTATATCACGCAATATCAGTAGTTTTGTTAAGTAAGTATACTTAAACATAATTTTATTAAGTATAGTATACGTTTAAATCATACACTTTATGCTATATTCGGTCTAGATATTATGTATAAATGCATGTATGTGTATGCATACATTTAAGTAGTAAAGATATTTAGATAGGTACAATGTTCATAATCAGTGAGTGTGTTTTGCTTTTTATTACATGTCAAACATGAATTAAAAAAACAAACATTTTTTCTTTTTTTATTCCTGCAAAATCTTAATTTCACGCAGGTGGACAAGCTGTCCAACTATAAACAACATTTTTGGTAATGCCTTCTTTTGTAAGAGCAATCTCCATAAATTAAATTTGTAGGAACTTTATTTATCTAGTGAAGTAAAGAAATAATTCTATGGTAAATTTGACCTAATATCGACAAATCGTATAAATATGTGAAAATCTGGCATTGCGACTTTTGTCGTTCAATTCAAACGATGTAATCTAAAAAAAAATGAAACAATTAAATTTTCTAAGTTTATTTAAAAAACACCTCCATACATTATATTATTCATATATAAGTAGGGTTTCTAGTGTTTTCTCTGAACCACCTTAGATGATTCTCCTAGAAATGGAATTGGAAATTTTATCACCAGAGCAATACATATATACCAATCGTATTTTTAACTTCCACTTCAAGGATTTTTATTTTTCGGAGTTCAAGATCTTTTAAAACTATATGCTAAATGGCTAAATCTGACGTATTTTCACAAGGTACATCGTAAATTAAATAAAAACACATAAAAAAGATGAAAAGTGTAGGCTCGGTTAAAGAAACAAAGAAATAACTAAAATTCTAACAACTACTCAATTTAACAAATGTTTGTAAAAAACAAAACTTTACTAACTTAACTTATTAAGGATTACCTGTAAGACATAGAAAAAAAAATACTTAAAGCTAAAATTATCACTAAAAACTAAAACGGTGCCACCCTTTAAGGATTTGAATTTTGAAAATTCCGAAATATACATTTCATAGTCGAAGAGTGTAAATACAAAGTTTCAAGTAACTTAAACCTCATAAAAAATATTTTCCATACCAGTTTTGCCAACCCCTTCGAGATTGAATTTATAAAAGAACCTTTCTTAAACGATGCACTGATGCACACAATATAAAATTAATACCACCTCCAAATTTCAAATTTCCATATTCACACAGATGATTTTCAAACACGTTAATGTGGTCATTTAGTTTCACCCCATTTGGAATTGAATTTTTAAAATCATTTTATTAGGGTTCATGCTATTTCCATACCATATTTTATCATTTCATCAGTTTATAGATTTAGCAATTAAAACGTAAGAGACAGAATCAGTTATGCATTTTTAGTGTTAAGTTAAATAAATATTGGATATCTTGTACACACAATATCATTATGGATTTATAACGTATCTAAAAGTTACAACCTATACTATGCAAAATTAGTCACGGTAAGAATAATAAATATTAAATAATATTATAAACATAACATATACCTAATATAGGTATTTATATTATTATATTATATATACTAATACCTATTTAAAATTTTAATACTACGTCTACATTACGGTATACCTAATAGGTATTATATTCTAAAACTAAACTAGACCTACCAAAAATAATATACTTAAAAGTCGATATCGTAAAACGAAAGAATAGCTGCAGCACTCACTTTGACTAGTCGAAGACGTCGTCCACGAGGCTGAGGATGTGGTGGCCATGTCTAATGGAAAATACGTCGGAAGTGAACGGGAAAATTCACGAAAATGTGTGAGGAGGGTGGTGTACTAGTGGTGTGTATGACGGGTGTTGCTAGGCAGATCTAGACGCGTCCGAAAATCTCGTCCTGACTGGACGACTGCACTCGGCGTTGGCACTTCTACCACAAAAATAGCTAAAAAAAAATCAAAGAAATAACCCTTTTTTCGCGATGGCGCCTAACTATAAACACGACGGCGTACTATAATGCACGCAAATACTTTACCAACGGTAGTACGGTCCGGACGACGGCCACGCGCTCACAAGTCACAACAGGCCGCGCACACGAGCTCGGTGGCGGTAGACGTCGGCGGCCGCCGCGTCCCTTGACCCGTGTTCGATTGAACGCCGTGACGATCGCATCCGACGGCGACCGAACGACAACATTTCCCCCTTCCGCCATGTCACACCGAGACTAAACTTTTACCCGTTCAAACGCTATTTCCTACGCATCTAGTCACGGACTCACGGCCCATCTTGTCGTTAGATATCAATAAGACAATAATATTGTAAATGATATTAACTTTTATTTTAATGTGCTATTAGAGCAGAACAGTTTGTCACCTTAAAAAAATGCCGAACAAAGAAAATATCAATTTGGAAAACCCTCCGGCCCCCTACCATTAATGCACATCATCAGATTTATGAACTTGAATTGTGAAATTAAATTATTACGGTTTTGAAAGGAAATACATTTGAGTTTTAAAAAAGTATAAACAATGGTTAATAGGAGTGTGGGACGGATCATTTTGTCATCATTAGGTAACAGATGAAATGTGTAAGGCTAAACTTAGGACTTGTATGCGGTGTGTGATTCATGGGCGCCACCTAAGAGTCTCTCTGAGAAGAGATAGTATCCTTTTAAAAAGGAAATGGACTTGTGACCCGTGATTGACCCTAGATTGCAGCTTATATAGCTAGGTAGCATATGCCTAAATTTGGCTCAAGATATATCTACTTATATAATTTGAAGCATTGCAAAATAAATTAGAAATTATATAAGTATATTTAATGAAAAAAAAAAAAACAGAAATGGACAAATTTATAAACATAAAATAGATACAAGTAATGTAGGTAGTGGATACCTGTTCACATCTATAAATTATAATGATGTAAGTTGTATTGAATAAAAAATATAAATGAGCATACTATGGTTAAAATAAATATATTTCAGCTGTACTCAGAAATTAAAATTTTTTTGTACATTTTGGTTAGCTGCATAATCATTTTAATTAATTCCAATGATGTGCTCATTTAAATTTTTTCCATAAATCATTAATACCTAATCTAAAAATTAACACAAGATGAAATGACCAATCATCAATATATTTAAATATTTTAAATTCTAGTTATATATTTATAATTAATAATAATATAGGAATGACAAATAATTGACAGATCTATGCATAACATAACTTAATAATAATTGGCACTATATTATAGTATTGATCAAAACATTTAAATTTACTAAAATATTTAATAAATTAATTTAAATATATTTCCAAAACTTTTATAGATTTTTTTACAGTAGACTTAATCATAATTTATAAAACTATACATAACTATTTGGTACAGACAATTTAAGTTAAAATAACTAATAAGTGAGTTGAGTTTTTTTCTGGATGATAACATGATAAACTCACTTGACTAATATGTCACTCAATGTAAAAAAAACTTATATATCATTCTATTCATTTAAACATTAKGTCAAGAGTGAAAACCAATGGGCTATGTCCTATGACACTCGTTCTGCACATTTTAAAGAGATTTCACACTACCATTTTTTGGAGCAAAATAGAATTATATGCATTCCATTATACTGACTTAAGTCTTACTCTGGTATAATTTTTAATATTTTGATCCTTTAAGTTTAATTTAAATTATTTTTTGATTTTTTTCAGTTGAATGAATTAATAATAAACCCCACTAAATGGTTCACAAAAATATTTTTATTTGATTGTTAAATATTACTTTTAATCAAAAACAATACTGGAAAAAAAATCTTTATTATTTTTGAACATACAGTTACTTAATATGAAGCGTTAAAAGTTTAGAACACACCTTCACATATTTTGTATATTTATTTATATCTGGACTGAGAGCTCAATTTAATTTTACAAAAGCACTATTTACACCTAAGATAGTGTCACACATACTCAACTTTACCCTAAGTTATTTTGTTTGAAGATTATAAAATTAGAATAAAATAACATAAGTAGGTAATGATATACAGCAATAATAATAAACATAATAAATGAAATAATACACATAAAAAATTAACAATAAAAATAACAATATTAACTGAAAAATAAGAGCGGATGCTTATAGCCAATGCACATGATCCTAACAACTGGCTAGTTTCTATTACAATAGTGTTGTGAGTAGCAACAGTGAAAGGAGCAGATAATTTGATGGGACAGGAAGGAACTTTGTGAGATGCATTAAATTACAAAAAATAACAAGTTAGCCTTAACTCTCATATTCCCGAGATAGTTAAAACTGAGCTTATACATATTTGGATGGTAGTTATAGAAAAGGTTATCAATACTCAGAATAAATTATGAAGAATTGAAAAAATTGCTTTGGACACATTCTATAAGTCAGTGTTTCTTAAACTTTTTTATCAGTAGAACCCTTTTTGATGTACACTTTTATCTTGGAGCCCCTACTTTTTGTTAGCTTTTTATCTTTTTTTAAGACTATTTGCAATACAAATTATATTTTTTTTTTATTTATTTAAAGGGAACTTTGTTAACAATTAGTTTCAACAATTACATGCTTATAATGATGGTACATAAAAGAATATAAAATTAATGGTAGAAAATATATTACAAATAAATTAAATTTTAAAACCAGCCTGATTGAAGAAGTATATAAGTGAGGTAACCTAATAATTGGAACAATTGATGAGGAGAGAATGGATTGGGTGTTGAAAGGGACATTAAAAGAGTGATTTATGGCGAAAAGGATATTGTGTTGGGAAGACAGAGCGGAACAGTAAAAAGGTATATGAGAAATATCGCAGATGGTGGACAAATTATAATTAATTCATAAAATAATAATGTGCTAAAGGTATTTGATTCAAAAGATATGTTAAAATAAAAATTGTATATAATTATTAATTATACTTAAATTTTTATTTAGACTATATTAAAAATTGTATGCAGGGCCGTAGCAAGGGGGGGGGGAGAGGTGCCTACGCCCCGGGCGCAATTTCTCAGAGGGCGCAAAAATGAAAAATTTGCATTTTATGTTAAAAATTACAACGGTCAATTTGTATATTTTACTTACAAAAACTTCAACGTATTCTATATTATTTGAGCAATTGTTGAAAATAATATCTTTATTTTAAAGTATAAAACCAATACTAGTTAATAAACACAGTCGATCAATGTACAGAAAGTCTTTAGACTTGAGAAATAATACTTTTATAGTTTTATATGATGTGTCCGTAGTCAGTATTATATGTTTAATATTAAACATAATAATATAATAATAATAATATGTTATTATAGAGATTATCTATATTGGTTATTTTTATTAAGTTGTTTTGTAAAAATGTGGAATTACCAATGATGTTTACGTTTTCGCTGTGCGTCGATCGTCGTCGACGCCACGACGATAAAGAATTGTTTTTCATTTATTGGTAACTAATTATTATTATTATTATTTTGTTGACTACCATGAGAGTACTAGGGTACTCTCACTATTTTTACTCGTGTGTACCGTGCATATTTTTAGGTTTTTCCCTCTTGTACCAAACCAATATTTCATTAACATTTAATGATACAAAAAATCGTCTTATATAAAATATGACTGAATTTACATATATTTYATGAATATGAAATTATTTAGGCGTGAGAACTCGAGTCCTCACACGGTACACAAGTGATATAATTGAGTGTTCAAATTTTTGTGAGTCCCCGAGTTCCCTCATAAATTTTTTATTTATTTTTGAGAAAATATAACCATCTGATGAAAAATTATTATTTTAATCTCCTTTGATAAGAATATTATCATATGATTATTGTTTTATATAATTAATATAATATAAATTAATTTGGAGGGAAATCTAATAATTATAATCATTGATTATGGAACAGATATGAATATGATATAAGTTTGTATATTTATTGTTAATTTAGTAAATTTGATTCTCAATATTTGATCTTCATTTTATTATAACTCTACACAGAATATAATGGACTTAGATAATATTTTAGAAGCTTTAGACGAGTCTTTTGAATATGATTCTGGCAGTGATTATAAACCTACTAGTTCTGACCAAAGTTCAGACAGTTCAGATTCTGATATTCCTAGTGTAAATGATACTTCCCAAAGTAGTTTTTCTAATACCACTACTGAAAATTCTCAACAGTGGAATAATGTTACTAGTATGTATATGATATAAATTATAAATATTAAACTTAGGTATAAGATATTTAGTTATAATTTTTATTTCAGCATTCAATCAAAGTCATTTTGTATTTGAGGAAAACAGATCTTTGTTATGTGACTTAGGACCAGATTGTAAGCCTATAGATGTTTATAATTTATTTCTTAATGATGATATATTGGATACTATTGTTGTTGAAACAAATAGACAGGCATTAAGGTATAAAAATACATGGACAAATACTAATTCTATGGAAGTGAAACAATTTTTAGGAATTGTTATGTATACAGGACTTGTATCCTATCCTAAAATATCAGACTATTGGAGTAGGCAAAAATTTTTTCATAATACTTTCATCTCTAAAATTATGCCCAGAAATAGATTTCAAGAGTTGCTGAGATTTTTTCAAGTAGCTGATAATGATTCAATAATTGAAGGTGATGATTGGGTAAAATTCAACCTCTATAATTTTGAAATTAATAAATATTAAAAAAAAATTAAGGTACCTGGAGAAAATATTGTGATTGATGAAACCATGATTCCATTTAGAGGCAGACTAATATTTAAACAGTACATACCAAACAAAACTTCTAAATATGGTGTTAAATTATTTAAAATATGTGATAACATGGGTTACACATATGATTGTATTATTTATAGTGGTAAAAATACAACCCCAACGTGTTATGAAATAACTACTGCTACTAAAGTAGTTTTACAACTTATGAATGATTACCTATATAAAGGAAGGACATTAATTATTATACTAGTTTAAATCGTGCCCATATATTACTAAGTAAAGATACTCATATGGTTGGTACCTTAAGAAAAAATGCAAAAGGATTTCCAAAAGATATAACAAATGCAAAAATTAAAAAAGGTGAAATTAAAGGTAAAGAAGATGATAAAGGTGTAGTGGTGAGCATTTGGAAAGATGTTAGAATGGTGTCAACTAAACATGGTATAGAAATGATTAGTACTGGAAAGACAAGTAGAAATGGTGTTGTAATAAAAAAGCCAGAGGCTATAATTTTTTATAATAAGAACAAACAAGGGATTGATGTGTCAGATCAAATGACGAGTTATTTTACACCTCTTAGAAAAACCATTAGATGGTACCACAAAGTGGCATTTCAACTTGTGAATTTGGGTACAGCTGTGGTAAATTCATTATTAATTTATAAAGAATTAACTGGAAATAAAATTCAGATCTCAAATTTTAGACAGCAAATTATAGAAGAGTTAGTCAAATCACAAGATTTTAATTTAGTTTCACCATCTTCTAGAAAACATAAATTAATTGAAACAGATGAAAAATTAGGACAAGGCAATAAAAAGAAAAGGCGTAGGTGTGTCAAGTGCTATGAAAAACTGGTCAGTGAAAAAGGAAGAGCAGTTGCACAAAAAACTTGTAAAACTACCACATTAATACATTATATTGCAATTTTTGTGAAAAAAATCCAGCCTTTAAAAAAAAAAATAATTTAGTATCTTGATTTTTGAGAGAGCTCCAGTGCTCCCACGGCCAATAGAGGTTTAAAACATGTATTATTAGATAATTAAATACTTTTGGTACAAATATAAACAAATAGATGGCGCTAATGATGAATAAAATAAAAATTTTATTGAGATAACCCGAGTGTACTCATGGTCAACGTGTTAAACGTTAAACCATTCTGTATCTAACCTCCGCCAAGATTAGGTACACAATTATCATTTTGTGAGTTTAAATAGTTTGTTTTTTATTTAATTCATTATTTTATGCTCCGAATGACAAAAGTAACCATCTCATTATTTTAATTACACTGTAGAGTCTACAGTATAGTGTATATTGTATAATTTGTATAATATTAATTTATACATACAGACGTACAGTTAGGTAAGTAAATACTGTACATAAAAATAATGATTTAAAAAATTTAACTGTAATATCAATGAAATATATAATATTATTATAGTTTTTGGCGTTAAAGAGTGTTTAACATTGGTCGGTAAAACATGACGTTTTTGAGTGCAATTAATTTATGTAAAACTTATTTTTATCTTGCCATTGATCGGAATATCAATGATTTGAATAGGAAATAGATTTATATTAATTTTAATTTAGGTATATCTATTAAGTACCTACTTATATTAAATATTATATTATAAAAGATAACTGACCTATAAATGCTATAATTTATGAATATTGAATATATTAAATGAAAATTATTATTTTTTTTTTTTTTTGTAAAGAGTACCTAGGCATTAACATAAGTGAGTGCAGTACAGTATAGCTTTTAGGCGTTTAATATATTCAATATTATTTAAGTTCGTTGTATCGTAATTTCGTAATGATAGAAATATTTTTGATATTACACAATACACGAAAATTATTAATTTTAGATTTTAGATGAAACGAAGAATATATTATTTATTATAATATAATTATATATTGACACAGTACCAGTTAAAATAATTTTTAAATAAACAATTTAAAAAATAACTACCAATTTATGAGTAGATACTTAATGAGTAATGGTGAAATATATATATATTTTATTTATAAACAATGACGCCCCTAAAATTCTAAAAATACCTACGTTATCAGCATTTTTTTCTTTTTTACGACAATTTGTTAGGCTTTTATAATTAAGAAATTATTACTATTCATAATCTTTTTTTTTTTTTTTTAATACAGTCCAAAAACATGGCTCCAAAATTATCAGGTTCAGCTTTCAAAAAATTAAGAGAAAAAAAAAATAAAATCAGGAATCACTTGCAAAAACATTAAATTCCTGGCTATCTACATCTAAAATTAATCAACCATTAAACTCGGATAATCATTTCTTTATCTATCTCGTCTAAACCAGTTGAGCTAGAAACAAATCAAGTAGAAAAAAAATTAGACTCGGAAATAGAAGTTCAAAACAAAATGTCTCCAATTAAAATTCTAAATTCCCCAATTATAAACCAACCGATGATAATAATGACATTTAATCAATATCTAAACCAATATTAGAATCTGAATCTACTCCTCTTAATTCGCTTCTAGAATCTTCATATGAAATTAAACTGTCGGAAAATTTTAATTTCGAAGATCCAGTTACTTGGCCATTAATTAGTGATAAATTCCGTATATTCATAGTAAAACACGGTCCTAAGTTGGCAAATTACAATAACTACAATTTTCCAATTGATGATACTGGTAGACATGTTCACGAAAAATTGCTTTTCAGGACTGTACCAAATGAAGAAAAAGTAAGATGCCCTTGGTTACTTTATAGTAAACAAAAAAATGTATTGTTTTGTTTTTCGTGTGTTCTGTTTTCTACCGAAGAAAATCAATATTTTTCGAGCATTTCTTTGGGGTTCAACAATTGGAAAAAATTAAACCMGAAAATTTCAGATCACGAGAAAAGTACTTCGCATAGAGAATGTGTATTTAAATGGAAGGAATTTGAAAAAAGACTTCGTGGTAGTAAGACTATTGATTGCACTATACAGAACGCAATAAAATGTGAAAAAAAAAGTGGAAAGATATTTTAAAAATTTTATTTGACGTTATTTTATTTTGTGCAAAAAATAATCTTGCTCTTAGAGGTACTGGTGAACGAATTGGGAAACCTAATTGTGGTATATTTTTGAGCACACTTGAATTGTTAAGTCATTATAATCCAATTTTAGCAAAGAATATTGAAAAGGTTAACGCTAAGAATAATGTTCTTTAATAAGAATAATGCTATTTTTCTCCACAAATCCAAAACGAAATAATTTCAATTCTTGGAAAATCAACTCGTTAAATCGTATAAAAGAATCAAAATATTATTCAATTATGTTTGATTGTACACCCGATGTGTCTCACAAAGAGCAAATGTCTCAGGTTTTAAGATATGTATATATTTCTAACGGCACTGTTTCAATTGAAGAAACGTTTATAGACTTTATCGAAAGTCACGAAAAAACTGGCGAAGGATTAGCTTTAGAAATAACAAAAAAATTTAAAAAAGATGATTTAAAACTAAACAATTGTAGAGGACAGAGTTACCATAATGCTGCTAACATGTCTGGAAAGTATGAGGGTGTAAAAACACGTATTTCGGAAATAAACAATTTAGCTATATTGTATGTACCATGCAATGCGTATAGTTTAAATTTAGTTGGCAATGACGCCGCTAAAGTACGTATACGTATGAAACGTTTTTTGATAAAGTTCAACAAATTTTTAACTTTTTTTCGTCTTCAACAAGTAGATGAACAACTTTAATGAAAAGTATTAATATTTCATTAAAATGTACTAGTTCCACGCGATGGTCCGCAAAACAAGATTCTGTATCAGCACTTAAACGTAATTTAAAAAATGTATATAATGTTCTTAAGGAAATTTCAGAAAACTCAAAGTTACCTAAAGAGGTAATTCTTGGAGCAACAAATCTTTTGAAACGTCTTGATTTTAATTTTTTTTGCTTACTGGATTTATGGAATGAATTATTGACAACAATTAATCGCGTTAATTTAGCTTTACAGAAGAAAAGTTTAACGATCGATAGTGCAACTAAAATGGTTAAAGGTTTAATTTTATTAATACAAACAATGCGAAATGAAGGAATTGATAAGACAATTGAATTTGGTAAAATTATTGCTAATGATCTCGGTGTTAAAGCAAATTTTTTTGATAAACGAAAGAGGAAAGTGGAAAAATTAGATTTTGAGTTAATTGAAGATGATTTGCAAGTTTTATCTCAACAGAATGAATTTAAAAAAGATATTTTTGAAGTGTTCGATCGAATTCTTACAGAATTATACAATCGATTTGAAAATATGTCTGAAATTAATGAAAATTTTGGATTTTTGTATGGTAGTACCCTAATGGACCACTCTATGGACTATATACAAAAATGTGCAGCTGACTTATCTTTAAAATATGAAACCAATTTAAATTCTTCCAATTTTATCTCTKAAATAAAATATTTTAAATGTCAAGCATTTTCTATTTTACCTAACTTAAGAGCCGCAACACCATTAGCCTTACTTCAATTAATTACAACATATTCTTTACGTTCTGAATATCCAAATGTGGAAACAGCTTTACGCATATTCTTGACTTTACCAATAACTGCGGCGACGTGTGAAAGGTCATTCAGTAAGTTAAAGCTCATAAAAAATTATTTAAGGTCTACAATGGGACAAGAACGAATATCCGATATGGCTATTTTATCCATTGAACATACATTGGTAAATGCTTTGGATATAGACGAACTCATTGAAGACTTTGCTGGGAAAAAGTTAGAAAAATTGCAATTTAAATGTTAGCTATAAGTAAAAGCAATATTATATGCATTATTATATATTTACTTACATAACTTAATAAGTGTTATTATGTATTTATGTTAAGCTTATTATTTTTAAATGCATTTATATTTTAAAAAGTTATTGGTTTTAATAAAATTTACAAACACTCACATTAAAAAATGTTATTTAAATAGCATTTATAAACAATATTCAGTTTTGAGTTTTTTAATAAATTAAAATATATTATTTATATATATATAAATATATACTATACTTATATAAGGGCGCATTTTGGAGTTTCGTCTCGGGTACAATATTTAGTTGCTACGGCACTGATTGTATGAGATAAGTGAGATTACTTTTTATTATTATTATTACAAATATACTTAATATTGGGCTTTATTGATGAAAGTTGTATTATCATATTAAGTTTGTCATTAAGTTTGTTGTGTTATTTTGTTGTTGTTGAAACATAGCTGAGAACCTCGTTTTATACATAAAAGTGGTTGAAAATGGTAAAAGTGCCAACACGGAAAATTGTAACAGTTGAGAATATTCAGCTTTTGAACTATACTAAAATTCTACTCATGTCAAATTTTTCTTGCAACATTGTATCAGATGTAATTTCAATAAGTTTCATATTCTTTTGCTGATGTGACTAAATATTTTAAATATATATATTCACGCAGTTAAATTTCAATCATGTTACTGTGGTTATTTAATTATGTTAAAAATCTTTTTTAGGGCTCATGCTATTTCCATACCATATTTTATCAAAATTGTTCATTGATTTAGCCATTAAGACATAAGAAACAGAGTTAATTTAGCATTTTTAGTGTTAAGTTAAATAAATAGAGGATACCTTGTACACATATTATCATTATGAATTTATCTATAAGTTACAACCTACTATGCAAAATTATTCAAGGTAAGAATAATAAATATTAAATAATATTATGTACATAACATATACCTAATAGGCATTTATATTATATTAAATATATATTTTATTACCCATGTAAAAGTTTAATACTACACCTACATTATCATTATGGTATAGTAATTTTTTTGAAAATTTTGAAAAATATTACCTTAGCTTTGCAGAACCCTGAAGCAATCTCCACAGAACACTGGGGTTCCGCAGAACACAGTTTAAGAAACGCTGCTAAAAGAAATGAATCCACAGCAGTACAGGGGTCCCAGAGAACTGAAGAATACTCTAGAATGGATTTAAACAATGGAACAGTAAATAGCTTAAAGTAAATCGGACAACTTAATAGATAACCGTAATAAATAAATTAAAAAAAAAAACAAGTGGTTGAAGACCTTCATTACAACATATTACTTCAAAATGAGGGTAAAAGTTCAGCCTTGAAAACAACATTTTCAAGTAACAAAAGGTTCCCCTACCCCCTCTCCACAATAAGTTACTAAATACTAAATTGAAATACTTTGAACTTTGTTTTTTTGTTTCTTTTTGTTTTTTGAAGAATTCATTTTCTTGGTACATTTTTCTTTTAAAATCCTCATTTTGGTTTTGGTTTTGGTTTTACTTTCAGTTTTTTTTTTTATTGTCTAAAATAATCATAATATGGATAATTAGTTAAACAATTATAAAAAAAGAAAACCCCTGAGATATAATTATTGAACAAATTTTATTGATATTGTAAAATAACCCTTTTAAATAAAATTGCTATTACCTGCTTATTGTGATTAACATTTTCTGTGATATTCATACCTAATGTGTCTAATACAATACATTCTTTGGGATGAGCAATTTCAAAAATGTTATCCTCAGTATATGTTTCTGGATTATGTTCAATGTTGTTGTTGACTGATTTAGTGTCAGACTAAAATATTTACAATTAATTAACGATTATTTAAATGTTACAGTAATTACTAATTAACTTTCTCTATTTAATAACATCATACACTAGTCATTTATGTTACCTTATTATCAGATTTTTTTCTAACACAATTATTATAGTCTGCATCAAATCTTTTTAATACTATTACAGGACTCCAACATATCCTATTATTAGATAAATTGATTGTTTTACTATTATCTTCTGTGTTACATTCATGGTTGACTGCTTTACTATCTATCTAAAAATTATAGTAAGAATATTACTGTAATTTGTAGACAAGATATTTATCTGACTAAATCTTCTGTAAAAATAAATTTATAGATACCTTATCTTCAGGTGCTGGCGCAACGTAAGATTTTATAGTTTTTTCATCCAATCTTACTAACTGTACAGCACATTGTTTTATGTCTTTTAGTGATATTTTGGATTCATAATTTGAATTCATAGGACAAGTAAGATTTAAATTATTTTCCTGTTGATTGGTTTGTGTTTCCACTAATTCATTTTTTAAAAACGGACCTTTATTAGTATGTTTACCAATGGATTCATTATATTCCTAAAAATGTTAAATCTTCAATCAAATTTAAAATAATACCTAGTAAAAAATAACAGTACATAAAAATAACAATGATAATAATACAAAATACATTTTTATCATCTTAAAAACATCAGCCTAGTTCACAACACCAATAATCGTCAAATATTCTGAATCACCAAAATATTGAACTCAATTGTAAAATTTAAATACACACAGAAACAACTTAGCCTTTCCTAATGCCATCACTGCCAAAAGTATGGACACACACGCAACTACTAAACTGTTTCCACAAACCATGATGCGTGTAATGTGGAGCTAAACACTACACCGAAAATTGCACAAAAAATCTGGAGGAACCAGCAAAATGTGCAAATTGTGGAAGAAACCACACTGCCAATTATAAAAAATGTCAAACCTTTAAAAAAATATTAAATCGCATCAAATCCAAATCCAGAACAACAGAAAAAGTTCATCAACACATTCAAACACATGCTGTACCACCTGCACCTCACAGAAGAGGATATGACGCACTTAGCTCAAAGCCAAAAGAAAAGCCCTCATAATATGCAGAAGCCACAATGAACACTCCTCCACCCGATCAACTCTTGCAAACCGTCACCAATTTCCTCAACGAGTTAAAATGAGTCCTAAACCCCCTCCTAGCTGCTCTAACATGCCTAACAAACAAAATCCCACTCATCATCACTCTTACTCCTAAATAAATTAACATATGCATCACATATCTTCTGATCATACCATATTTATTACATAAATTCTTAATTGTATTAATAAACCTGTAATAACCTTTAATAATATGTAATATGTTGACACATTCTAAAATATAATAAATAAATGAAAAAAAAATCATCTTAAAAAACTCAATTAAAATATTTTGGACATAAGTTAAATTTGAAAATTTATATTCACCTTCTTTAAAAAATGTTGGTTTTCAATATTTGTGTCCAGTTTTTCTAATGAAACACTGCATCTTTGTTGTAATTTATTTTTAGTATGTTCAACTAAATTATCCGTACTATGGGAAACTTCAGAGAATATAGTAGAATTATTTTCAGTTGTTTTTAACAATAAACCATTAATCAATATTGACTTTATTTTATTATTTAATGATTCAATAATTTTATCATTGAACAAACATTGAGAATCTGATAAAAGTGAACAAGTGTTAACTAATATTTTTTGACATAATTCACTAAAATTAATTAGGCATTGTTCAATATTTTTTGCTTGTAAATTTTGATATCCATTTAACAATGCTCCAATTTTTGAATTTAATAAATTACTTAAATTAAAGACTCGTATTTTATAAATATCTTCTTGAGTAAAATTTTCATTACATGTTGCTGAATTTATCATGAATTCACGTAAATGTTGTGTGTTTACAGATTCTTCACCATTTAACAAAAGCCTAGTACCGCTAAAATCAATATTAATTCAAAAATTATAGAATTGAACAAAATAATCAACTTAAGAATATTAACATTGATTATATTTTATTATTTTTATAAGCTGAAAAAATAGATACCTATATAAAAAAAAAAAAATACATTAGATTATTGTTACTCCAAACATATAAATAAACATCATTGAAGTTTGAACTAGCACAAAAATGTTTGAAAATAGAAAAGGCAGCTTATAATATGATGTAAATACTATCTATAAATGTATAAATATAACATTTTAAAAAAGAAATTGCAGTTTAAAACTAAAAATTAATTCAAAATTAATGTTTTGAAGGAAACATTTAAAGGGAAATTATGGAGCTGTAATTAACATATAATTCTAAGTGATTTAACTGATATTTTTAGTAAGTCCTAGCCCCTATTTACAAATAAGTATTTTTCTATACACATTATTGCATTAATTTCTATATGAAAATATATTAGATAAAATATATTCATTCAAGTATAATACTATGTATTTTTGGTAAGAATTTTTTTTTAATGGATATCCAATGTTAATTTAATTAATGAGCATTTTTTTTTTAAATTTAATTTAAATATATTCAATCTACAACAAAAAACAATAAGAAATAAGGATGAAAAGATAGTATGTACAAAAAAACACGAATCACACGAAGAGAAAACTATTCATTACAATACCTAAGAAAACTTTTTATTTCATATTTTTTTTATCTATTTTAGAAAGTCACTAGACCAGTTTTTTTCAACAAGGAATTTGTGGTGATGTAAGAATGGACATATTTTTAATAAAGGGGTTTATATGGTAAATTAAGTTAGAGTGGAAACTTTTGAAATGGCTTTTTACTTTTGACATTTTTAGGTCGTTCTGGAGGGCCACATTTGTTATGTACCATAGACATGGAATAGGAGTGATAAGTCTTAATGAGTATTATGAATTTAATATGTTTAAAAAAGATAAAGGACATTTTGAAATGTTCCAAAAAAAATAGATATATCAAAACTTATTACTATCATAAATAATAATTGGTTTATAGTTAATGGGTCACTTGTTATTAACTATTTTGTGTTGAAATAAAAAAATTGTTCTAAAATAATACAAGATATTTAATTTATAAGTTATACATTTTTTCAACTCACAGTTCTAGTGAAAAACATTTTAAGACTGCAGCTGCTTGAGATCTAAGACTCCATAAAACACTCGAAGAGCATCCTAAACAATATTTTAATTTTCTTAAACGTTTTGACTTAATGTAGTAATTGTCCATACATCTCTAGAAAATAAATTAAAATTATCAAAATTTTGTATACACAAACATTACATTTATAATGATAATACATTTTGTAGTTGATGAGTTGGCTTTGTGTAGGGTTAGGAACTATGAAAAATTAAGTAAGTATTGATTAGGAAAATTATCATTAGGTACTATTTAAATACTGAAAGATTTTTTTTTATACTTGAACATATTAAATTATATTTTTATCAAGAAAATAAACTTTTATTTGTGATTTTATGAATCATAAATCTATTTTTCAATATTATATAATCTATATAGGTTGGTTGGTAATGAACTGTTATTAAGCATATCCATATTATATTTAACATAGTATATTGGGATATATTTTAACATACTAATAAATTCATATATTAATTAAAAGATTCAAGAAATTAATTGAAGTATATCAATACATAACTGATTAATTTTGATTATTCAATAAGTTACATATTGTGCAGTATCTGGTATATAAGTACTCCCATGTTACATCCCAACTTATATTGAACTCAGAATTTTCATAAAATTGAAAACCTATGTTTGTTATTCATTATTATTAAATAAAAAAATGTATTTATTTAATTAATCATAATACTTTTCTGAGTTTTTGACCTGTTTAAGTAGCTTTAGTTTTTCTATTATAACTATTTGTAAAATTCTAATTAAGTCATTTTGAAATTGAATGATACTTTCTACATTTTCAACTTTAAAATAATGCACTGAAGAACTATCAGTTATTTCAAAATTTATGCTATGACTAAGAATGAAGAATGAGTAGTGGAACATGAATATTAGATTAAGTTTTCTTACTAATACATTAGCTTCAATCAGTCCATACTCATGAAAATTTTTATAATGAATCCTATGTAATGATAATTGTTAGTATTATTATGGAATAGAATGTTCGAATTAAAAAAATTACTGTATAATGAAAACTTTAATTTTCTGTTTACACTTTATCTAGACAATTGGTGGGTCCAATAGAATTGCTGATAAAAAAATTATAGCCCGCAAACTGTCCCAGTAAACATAGGCTTATGGCAAAACTAGTAAATTGTTAAAATGCATCGTTCTTAAATTATAATTTTTATTGATTTTTTTTCTAATGTTAAAGCTTATTAAATTTGTTTTTGATAACTATTTAAGTATAGTTAGTTGTTGGAATGATAAGAGAAATGGAAAATTTACGATTAATTAAAGAAATTTACCTTGCACATATTGCTTTTACATATTTTGCATGTTTTAAGTTTAGTTTTGAGCGAGCATAATATACATCCATTTTTTGAATCTGATAATTTTTCAAAACAATTCTGTAAAAATAAATATAACTTTAAAGAGTTTTAATTAATTAACTTCTAACTATCATATAAAAAACATTGAAGCAACTTGCTACTTAAAAAATAAATATCAAAAAGTTGTGTCACAATAAGACTTATTAATACTGTTTGTCATTTGAATTGAACTTTTAAAATTCTCAAACATAACCATAAACTTTTAAAATATATAATGAATAATATATAATTATAGATAGATAATCCAATTTATTGCACACTTACTTTACAACAGAGACATAAAAACTTTTTATGGAGCATAATTTTTTTATTCATAATGATATTCTCTTTCAAGTCTGAATTACAAATAGAACACCAAATAATACTGTTTAATACATCTTGAGCATCTGATAGATAAGAAAATAATTTTTAAATAAAATATTAAATCACACAATACACCAATATTTTGAATACTTACGTTTATAATGATTGTTCCTGTAATTTATTTCCAGGTTATCAGGAAGTAGAGCATTATTCATTTTGTTTTAACTTGCACTTCATATGCCTTATTTTAGGTTATACCTATATAATCTAAGACAAAAAAAAATATAATGAGTGATAGGTAATTATTTATATTTTAAATAAACATTTTTAGTATTGTAAACCAAATAGTATTTTTTAATGATAATAAACTATTCTAATTCTCATTAACAACTATAAAAAAAAAAATAAGATTATTACAAGACTTTTTTAAAGACTAGATACCTAATGTTTTCAACTCTGATTCTTAATTTATAAAGACTTTGACAGTTTTTGAAGAAAGCCAGATAATTACAGTGTTATATTAAAAATCAGTAACAAAATACGATACATAATAGCATTAGTATAATATCATTGGTTATCATTTTGTATTTACTTTTATGATATTATATTAATTATACAATTAGGAATACTATTTATTATTACAAGAATATAGTACCTGTTAATATTTTTTTTATTTTAGGAAACACATTCTATTAATCTAAATAGAAAACATAGAAATCTATAGATACCATATAAATTTTGACGTAATGTGCAAGTAGTTCAGGCAGCGTTGTCAAAAAATATGTCATGCAATGCAGAAATATTATATTTATAACATAAAATAAATGGTACTAAATCTCAGCTAAACAACTGAATAAAACAAATAGAACTGTTGCAGTTTTCGATGTCACTACTGCCACTGAATAGGTACTAATAAAAAATAAAAATGTAGAACTTAAAATAAACGACAATAACTATTTATATATAGGTAAGAATAATATGAAAATCATAAAAGTGATTTACCAACGAAAAAATAATTCCTATGAAAGTATACCTAATATACAATCACAAATTAAGATATTAATTCGTATATTGTATATTGTACAGTGTACATTTTAACATTTTTAACACTTATCACAACTGATAAGACGGCAATCACAAATCACAATACTGCGTAATTGCGTAATAATATATTGCCTATACGGTATTCCACCTAAAGGCTAAAAGTCCGGAAAAAAAAACCCGCGAAAAAAAGTCCGATTTATTAATTATACATAATGTTGTACAAGAAAACATTCATGTTATCAAAAATAATAGCAATAATTTATAATACAATTATTACATTTGAATTCAGAATGAAAAATCTATATCCTTAACCTATCACCTTGGCCATGTCCTAATATTATGTACCACTTGAGTTATAAACTCTTTAACATTTAGCTAGGAGTTATGAATTCGTTTGCATAATGTTTCAAACCTGATGTTTTTTTGATTTTTTCATGGCTTGTCCTGTACTGATTAATGCTATTTTTCCCCTATCGACTCCAATCTCTAACTTGATTTTTTAATTAGTACCCATATTGCTGGATGACTATGACCTACCAAGTGTGTGATACGGTTGTTCAATGCTTCACATATATTGTTAGTTCTGTGTTCACTATCACTATTTAATGTGACTTCAAAGACATTTGAACAATTTTTTGACAATTTTTCAGTTTTTGTTAGGAATTAGGCATTAGTTTTTCTTAATTTTATGTTCATACCAGCACCAACTAGGTTAGGTTAGGTTAGGTTAGGTTAACTTTGGTTATTGTTAACTTGAGGTCGACTCCGTCGCCGCGCCGCGATGGAAAAAAATTGTAGTCTTGGAATTCTCGATGAAGGCTTTACTATGTATCCTCAAAAAAAAAAACAAAATAAGGATATATAAATCATGATATAATTATGTTTTTTAGAGGCACGTGGCTTATAAAGTTTAAAAATTGTGCACAAAAAAAAACTAGAGCAATATTTTGAAAATAAAAATGGAAAGGGGTATTGGCGCCCGCAGGCAAATGATTTTTAAGGATCAAAAAATAAAATTGGAAAAAAATATGTTCTTCGAAAACACAATGAAGACTGCACTATGTATTTTCAAGAAAAATAAAAGAAGGATAATTAAATCATGATAAAATTATGTTTTATAGTGGCAAGTGGC